ACAGATGGGCCATGGGAGATAATGGAAGAGAGATTTATAGACACAAAGCTAGCCCTGATCCTAATGACGGCATTAACCATTTAACAAGAAGTGACCAGGCCACCATCTTCAGACTCAGAACACAACATACTCCACTCAATGGACACCTTAACAGAATACAGTCACAACACTCGCCACAGAGTGCCAGCTATGTAACTACCCCTACGAAAATGTTGACCATCATCTCTTTGAGTGCCAAAAACTCAACAAGACTAGAAGAATCATACTCCCTCCGAGACCAGACAGGTGGAACACCTTGTACGGAGGAAAAGAAAAGCTTGTGAAAACATGTAAATTCAACTACATGGCATTGGGCCAAAGCTAATGGATCAATAACAACAACTGGCTTATTTGTGTGCAGCTGGTTAATCCTTGCGTCTCTGGCAGATATACTCACGACTTTGAAGAAAGCAACATGCTAGTTTGGGAGACAGTGGGTCCATTTTTATTTTTCCCACGAGAACCCGGAGACTACACATGGAATTTAATTCCTTCAATAACCGAAGCTATGCTCAAGGAAACTAATGTGAAATTAACTATAAACAATCATAAAAACCTACACAATCTACTATTTGAAAGCATATGTGTATAGAAACTCCTCAGAACTTCAAATATCAATCTATTTCAGCCATATAAAAAGACATGACATTTGTATAAATAAAATGAAAACTATGCTAGAGAGAAAAGTTGGTGATGGGTGGCAAGAAACAGCAACAAGTTCAAAGTTACCAAGATTTGGCAAAGAGCAATCTGTAAGTGTACAGCCTGAGTTTAGGTATGCTGCACCAGCCTTTACTGTGATGCTGCTTTTCTGATTTGTTTGCATTCACCAGTGCAAAATCCTTAGTGTTCTGCTTTGTTTCAAGACCTGAGTTTTGCTTGCACACCCGTTTTACAGATATATCTTTGATTGCAGACTGCTGGTACATCGCCTCTCAGCCTAATTCGCACCGACTTTAACAGAAACACTCCTGCCTTCTATGACATGGTTGTAAATAGGGCAGCAGTTCTGTTATTTTTCTCTAACAAATGGAGCTCTGGATTCCACATGGGAAGGTTCTGGTTTATGACCGACATATTCGTAGGTTTGTTCTAGGAAAAAGGGTATTATGCCCCAAAATATCCCATTACATTATTTGGTATTTTTTATATGGTTAGTATCGCACTGAAAGGTTCCAGGAAATTTTAGATTCAAGGTTAGTAGTGGCAACAGAAAGAAATAAGTGTGAAAATGTACTGCCAACTGGCAAAACTGAAGGTAACATAACAGCAAGGAGAAAAAGACAATACCTGGATGACTTGACCATAAGGTGAAAGTGGCAATCGTGTCATGGAAAATAATGCACACCACATAATCGCTTTAACGGCATGACAAATGATATTGATGGCAATAGAACCAAAGACTCACACTCTGAACAGTGTTTGATTCTAACTTCAAGGTTAGTGGCAACAGAATTTTAAAATACAAAAGGCATTACCTTAAACACGAAATACACTTGATTAAATCAGGAGAGAGCTGGCTTGAGGTCCTGTGGCCGCTAGAGACTGGATCCCTCTTGCCCAGCACCAAAAAGCAGTCAAACCCTTGACTTTTCATTGCCCACATCAGGAATTCATTGGTCTCACTCAAACTGATTGATATACACAATGTGGCAACCCTTGACGATTCCGCTTCACTGACAGAGCTGTTGTCCTACGAGTTTCTTACTTGGCAACTAAAAGTTAAGACCATCTGCTGCATTCTGGTCACTCCACTAAGTTACAGACTCTACCACAGAATTCAAGTCTAAACTGAGACTAAATTACAGCAGTGTGAGTCCATTTCCAAGCCATCGCTGATCCCTAATAAAATGATCTCTTCCCAAATTAGAGACACCTGCACACAATACCACCACAGGGGATGCGCACAGGAATATGTTTCACGGAAAAAAAGGTCAGTCAACTAAAAGGGCTAAACACTTTAACTAGGTTACCCAACACACATATGCACATAGAAAAATTGTGCGTGGGAAACAATGCCAAAACATGATGTCTGTGTGGGTGCACCAAGAAGGCACATGACAGTTTCAATGTGCTCAATCACCATTACATGCGAACATATAGCATAAAGACAGCCATGGAAGACACAGGAAATGGGCATCAAAGACTTGCCACATTGCATCTATTAAGCCAAAATAGATGTGACCCACAGATGATATCAATTACATGACATTGGGTGATCAACAGAGTAGATTGGGACACTTATTTTACACAAGTGTTCCAGAGATACCGAGCATTCATGGGTTAACAGACGGCTAAATAACAAGTGTTTGCATTCTATGAGGATATTCAATATTCCTTTCAGTAACTTCACAGAAGTGACTTTCCGCGTAATTAGTTTTACTGCTAAAAATATTAAAATTAGCATTATAAATGAGAAAACTGGGTGTTCCTCTCAGTGACCGCAAAACAAAAAGTTCAAAGCATTGCTTTAATGTCTGGAGTCAAAGACAGGCACCCACTAGAGACATGAATGTAAAAGTTCTTGGACCATGGTGATGCATTCTTGATTAGGACAAGGCCAGGTATAAGCAAAAATCACTTCTGAAGTTACAAAAAAATCTTTACAATATAAGCATATGACATTTTCTTCAAACAAAGGAGCATTTGTTTCTCCTGACTCAAGCAGCACTTTTTACATTGTTCTGTTCATCTACAGCATTTAACCCAAAATAAAATCATACAACTAGGTATTTAAGCAAACAAATGCTGCTACTGAGTTGGCGGGTTTTTTTTTTAATACCGACAATCAGCATTTTGTTAACAAAAAATTTAACTCATCAATTACCAATCAAACCAATGTGACATATTTTTTTTCTGACAATTTCAGCTGTCACATTTGCACTGTAGATTGTCCATTTTTTAATTCTCTGTTATCCTCATATTTAAAAAAAAAATAGGTTTAGGTAAGAGTTAATCACTATTTTCCCAGCTGAATGAACAGTGCCCCCCCCCCCCCCCCCCACATGGAGTATGTAAGTTGACAAGTTCATTTAAAAACAAAATCTCACTAGCCAATCACTTTCACAATATGTCTGCGTTAACTGATTTTCTACATGGTACAATACACACAAATCAAAAGCTCATCATAATCAATAATTTTCCATATTCAAATAAAGGAAAATATGCAAATTTGTTTTTCTTTAGTTGGTACAGGGAATAGAGACCCTGTATACAAACCATTTGAACCCACGATGGTGCCCACGCAACCTGTCAGGTGAAGCGAGGAGTGGGAGAAGACAGAGTGACCAAAACACATGTGTGTCAGTAAGTCTACCTCCGGCATTCCACTTCTCCAATTCAAGAGAGATTTTATCTGTAGCACATCCAGTTTGTGAGATTGGGAGGAAGAAAAAACAATGTATTAGTATGTGATGGTAGATCATTTGCTCAAGACAGACAACATGAAGAGTGAGTGCACATGTAGCGGACACAAATGTGACAGCACAACATAACAATGTAATTCTGGTTCTATCGAAACATGAGTGCTTAAACTTTCGACATAAATCTTCTTCATCATGTTCACTGGCTGCAAACTCCAGTGGAAAGTTCTGACTGTATTTCTTTTTCTGGACTTTGATGGTCGTGTTCCAGAATGTGTTGTGTTCACATCCATTTTACATATCTGTAAGCATGCTGTTGGTCTCTTGCCTCTACGACAAATGCTCTCCGAATCTGAAGGAAACGCCCTAAATAGCTGGCTTTTACAACATGGGAGACCTGGTGTATTCTTTCCCCCTCCCCTCCAAAATGGGTCCGGAATATGCACATGGGGTATATATAAATGGGTACCAGTCCAGGAACGCATACCAAACTCTTTTAACTGGTCTATCACCACACACCCCAGGGCATAAAAAGAGATATTACTTGTTTTGTATGGATTAAGTGGGAGTCACAGTAGCTACATCATCCTTGTTCAACTCAGGGTCTTGGGTTTGGACTTGAAGTAGAATAGCTTTCTTGAACTGAGTGAGGGCTCACAATGCCCTTTAACCTAAAAAGGGTACCAGAAATGGCCCTGGGAAGCAATCACAGAAGGTTGCACATATCATCTACCAAACACCAACTTGTCTATAAAAGAAATTATGGATGATTCACATGCTGAGGTGCCACTGTTACAAATTCCTCAGCTTTTATCCTGATAAAGTCACTTGATATCAACAGTATGTTTAAATACCAGATTTTCTTACACGTACACCCAATAGTCAATTCTATTAAAATATTTACCTAGTGGTGGCCACATTTTATAACCTGTGAGATTCTCTGAGAGACATAATCTACTACATGGCAACCCTGAAATGTCTAAATCTTCATCAATATCTTTTGGAATATTTACAAAATATGTTCCTACTAACCTTGACGCTTGCAATGTAAACTTTCGAAACAAAAGTTATAAAAACCGCACGTGACCTTTCATCCAAGCGCCTGAACACTGATCCGATCCATGGCATCCTGACGGGCCATTTCGAACTTGCTCTGACCAAATGGGATTTCTCTCCGCTGGTAACGCAGCGTCAAAAGATTTATATTTGCATCTATATGGTAAACCCTTAACAATTTTGAGGGTAATCATTCTGAGCCAGAAAATCATTACAATTTTCATCAGGCAAGATGACAATAAAACACTTCCATGCAACTTCCTCATACAATATAGAAGATATGCAACTTTTGTCCTTGTGTCCGGACTGTATTAGACAAATTTCCAAACTGGCAATGGCAACTCTAATCCATAATCTATCTCTAGATTTTACTTTCTCAGATGGTTATTCTGTTTTTTAACAGGGACTGAGTTTCTTATTCTGAACATGAATAACAGTCCAATTTCTCTGTGCAGTGGTGTAAGATTGTAAGGACAAATAAGGGTTTCAAATTACCAATGTCAGAAATAATTATTTGAGAAACAATGCAATAGGTAAGCTCACCTTCTGTTGCGAACTTGCTTAATGTGGTGGAACACATTAATCACATCTCTGTTTCGTCTGGGGCACTCTTCAATCTTTGAGGCCAGCATGATACTTGCCATGGCCAACACCTGTCAACAGTCAGTAATAGTTCATTAAGTCACAGCCAAACAGTCACACCAAAATAATATCGCCCTCACGCCAGAGACTGGCATGAAATAAACTGCCCATACATAAATGCTCTCTAAAAAATACAAGCCAGGTCACTGTGGGGTCCATGTTCTAAGAAACAAAACTGGCACATGAGAGATAAATTATCTGACCAGCTTCAGGCCAAATGTTTCCTATCATATTTTCAAGCACTTGCTCTGGACCCGAACCCAAAAACTAGTATGCAAGCGGTAATCCAATTATTTGTTAAAGTAACAATAAAATACCACACCATTCAAGAGTGCCAGTTACTAATCAAATTTATGCTTTATTAAGATCTACTAAATTGCTAGATGATAATTGGAACAGTAATTTTTCATTTTAGGTAGTTGACTAAGAAAACTGTCCCTCTTGAATGATATGGCAACTTAAAGTAACTAAACTGTGCAACTCACCTCCATATTATGTTTGATGAATGACTTTGAGTAGTAAAACCTCTGAAACACAACTTGGGCTGTAGCCATTGCCACCTACAAAATTGAAAGAAAAAAAAATGTCTGTTAGCACAGCATTACAAATACTTTATTCTGAAATTTTCTCTTAAAGTGTGGTTGGCTGACACTGTTTACAGCTTGGCTGCCTTCTTTTTCTTCTTCACATTCAGCAGCTGTAAACTCTTATGCTTATTCACTTCTGGACTCTGGTCTTGATCCCAGACTTTGCAGAGTTTTGAGTACACATTCAATTTACAGATGCAGACTGTTGTTGCCTCGCCTCTTTGGCAGATGCACTTCAACTGAAGGAAACCTTAATCAACTGCCTTTTACAACATGCATGTTAGGTGACAATGGGTCTATTTCCCCCCTCCCCACCTTTTTTTTTCTCATAAACTGAAGCCCCAGAAATCACACAGGGAACTTAGCTGTGATATGAGTAACGTTTGGATCAAAACAGTGAAATAAACACATTGACAGCAACATAAAAGCAATGCAAGAAAGGGGACAATACCCAACAATGGACAGTGCATGTAGTGACGACCCAAAAAAAGAAGGCTATCCTCCGAACTTCGGACACTAAAGATGGCGGCCGCAACATATCCTTTCGAGCCTCAGTCACGTGACTTAATTTGCGGTTTTCCAGCGACTGCTGCCACGAGTCCCCCACGTTGCTCATGCGGCATGGATTGGGGCTAAACTAGATGGCTAGGACCCATGAGCAGCAGCTTCCGCATCCCCTGCAGCTTCGCTCGTGAGTCCTAGCCATCTAGTTTAGCCCCAATCCACGCCGCATGAACGACGTGGGGGACTCGTGGCGGTAGTCGTCGGAAAACAGCAAATTAAGTCACGTTACTGAGGCTGGAAAGGATATTATGCGGCCGCCATCATTAGTACCCGAAGTTCGGAGGATAGCCAAAAAGGATTAGTGATACCATAACCATATCATGTACTGTATGTTCCACGTTTCCTAGTAAATCAAGGAAACAAATTATATTGTGCCCTATTCATAAGACATTAAGTCAATGACACACCTGGTGCAGTTGACTGTCCAGCGGCACAAATCATAAATGCCTCAAAGTTACCCAGGAATCGACTCAGGGAGATTTCTACCTTCAGATTTTAAAATGTTGATTGACTTATTGTTATGTGCGCCGAAGAGGTTTCAAAGTCTATCTATTCTATACTGATGATACACTTATGATATCTCGACTTTAAATATCAGATAGAAATAAAGGTATAACCAGCGTGAGAGATAGTAGTAGTACTGCTAGTGAATATGTTGCGTTGTAGAACATGTACGTTATAAAGGCGTACCGGACAGCTTTACTTTTTTCTCCACGGGTCGTTATTCAGTTTTCACCGCCATTATTTGATTATCAGAAAGCCGACCACACCAGACGTAACATTTCATTTACACAAAAATACTACATTTCATTCATGCATATACACTCCGGTAAATTTGTAACTGAATAAACTCTGTGCCTAAGCTGCTCGTGGTTTCTCAACTTCATCTATGACATCGTTTTCCGTCGTGTTCTGACAGTAGCCATGTTGGATTCATTGTGCTTACTTGACTGATTCATTCAACATTTACTCATTTACCAAAATTAACACTCGTTCGCAAGATAAGTATAACTGTCACAGTAATATTTATATAGATAGCGGAAAACACATTTTATTACATGACAAATATGAAGCTATACACGCGGGTGATCTTACATTCTTAGAATTTAATTTAATGAATGAAATTGGATCCCAATTTGTGTGATTCATTCTCTCAAGCCTAAGCCCCTAAGCCCTAAGCCGCCATGTTTAGGCCGATTTTTGTTTTTTCACAATTTTCATTATCATTATAACAGCCAAACAATGATTTAATTGCGATTATTAGTTATCACAACAAACGAAATCATATAAAATATTGAAAAGTTGATTCAGAATCTTCAATGCAGCTTACTGAGGCCTCAAAAATAAAAGTACATGTTATAGTAAATATAGTTAAAAATAGGTCAAGTCAACGAGCAGGATGTTAACTGTTAACATCATGTTTTTCTAAACTAAGTTTCAGTTTCAGAGACAGAAATTGTAATTTAGTTACTCAAAGAGAACCTAGATAACAAAATCTTTTCGCTAGAAATCTAGATTCTGCAAATGTATATATTAAAGTCATCCCTTACCTGAGGCAACTTTAACAAGATTCCTGCTGTCTGAATTAATTCACAACCTAAAATCCGCAGATCCGTTTCTACTTCCTTATCAAGGCCATCCGACATTGACGGCGTTTCACATAATTTATCATCAGGAACCAAAACGTTTTCCAACGTAAGAACAACCCTACTAAAATCTCGCTTCATCGTTGTAGTTGTTATTTCCGACATGGTGACTTGAGTTGGACCAGACATTAGAAATAAATGAAAAATTAAAGCCAAAAGCGACGTTGTCCAAACGTCAGGTCGTCCTTTCTCGCTACCTAACACAGGGGGATCATGGGAATCTTCCTGTGACGTCACTGGTATTCATCAGCTTAGGCGTACATCAGTCCCATGAGCTTCAGTTTTCTTTATTAGTCAATCAGAATCTTCAAATAAACAAAATAAATCCAAACAATATTTCTTTATATGAAATACTACAGAGTCGTTATTGCTATTTACGTTGCATTTAGTGTTTTTTTAAAGAATTATTTTCTCTAAGCGGAAATATATTTTCAATTTCGTAAGAAATTAAACTGCGCATGCGTTACTTTCTAAATGGTTCTATAGATTAGTTTCGAACACAGCTTGTATCTGTATCTATAGTGCACGTACAATGATTTCGTAATAACGCAGTTTCCGTCATCAAGTGCCTTGAGGAGTCACGCTTAGAATGGCGACCATATCCAGCCGTCTTAGCTGGAACAGTATCGTGTTTTATTTAAGGTAGACCAAGGACGTCGCATCCATTACCCCTTCGAAAAAAAATTTTTTTAATCCATGCGAAGGTCTGAGCCAAGGCGTTCTCTAGCTGACGGACAGTAGTGTTTACGTCATTATCTTGACGTGACACCCTGGGCTAACGATACATTCCGTTTTCACTCTGGCAGTCCCATTTTTTCGGCGTGTTTCCAGCCGTCCCCTGGGTACTCCCCTATAACTCTAGGAAAAATATCTTTGTGTCACCGTGGATTCTATAGGCCTCAGCACTTCGGTATATCATAAGCCTACTTAACATATCTTATCTGCCGCCTTTCGTCGAGCACGGTCTATCCATCGTGCCTAGGCTCTCGTTTCCAAGCCTGAAAGTCACCACTAAATACCTATCCTCATACTTACCTACCACTCTCACAACATCCATGCTAAAAAAATTTCTCCTTAAGCATCTCTCTATCCTTAAAGCTGACCCTTTCACCATAGCAATATGGTAGAGTCATAAAAATTTGGGAAGTGGAGCCCAAAGACTAAATGGAGACCTTAGAAGACTGCATGAGTACTGCCAAAGATGGATGCTCAAGGTTAACTGTGCAAAGACGGTCTAAACAGTCTTTACCAAAAGCCATCAAGTAGCAAACAAGAATATTAACCTGAGGTTAGACAAACACCATGTGATGAAAGAAGAGCATCCTACATACCTTGGAGTCTTACTTGACCGGCAGCTCAGCCTCAAGAATCATACTGAAAATGTAATGAATTAAGGCACTGGGGCGGTTACAGTTATTAAAGAGACTTGCAGGTACATCATGGGAATCAGACAAGGAAACTCTGAGGGGCTTATATCTAGGATATGTTCGCTTTGTGATAGAGTACAACAACTCACTACTTACAACCTGCTCCAAAACTAACCTAGAGACTCTTGACAGAGTACAAAATAATGCCCTTCGATCAATCTTCGGAGCTATGCAGTCTACACCAACTGCTGCATGTGAAATCCATACAAATGTGGAACCCCTCGGGTTGCGGAGAGAAAAGCCACTTTAGAAATTTATGAAAGAATCGTAACCATCCTAATAGACACCTTGTAGAAAACTGGGAATACAAACAAAGAATAAAGCACAAATCGGTTTTACACTGTTTTAATGAAATTCAGGACAGATACCACCTCCCAGAAAGACTTCAAGACATTCAGAATGTTGCAAGAAACCTACCACCACATGCTCGCTTTAAAGCTCCAGAAGTCCGAATTAAATTGATAGGCGAGGAAACCAAACAGTCCGACCCAATCGCTGTTATGAACTCATTACTAAAGACCATTGATTCTTACCCCCAAGAATGGATACATGATTATACTGATGGATCTGCATTTAAAGCTACCATTAAAGGAGGTTACGGAATCTACATAGGTTATCCGGATGGATCAGTTGAAGAGATATTTGATGTATGCGGGGAATTCTGTTCAAATTATGAAGCTGAAATAATTGCACTGGAAACAGCAGTATACCACCTAAAGACTGTAGTGGATGTTTACCCTTCAAAGGCCCAAAATATTGTCATCATCACAGATTCAATGTCTGCCCTTCAAGCTCTGGAGGGCAGTGAACGCTGCAGAACTGACATAGCCAAGATAATCCTGGATGCTGATCCGCTTATTACCTCATACAACATCATAATAGTGATGCAGTGGATTCCAGGCCACTCCGGTACACCAGGTATTGACCGAGCTGACAGACTGGCAAAGAAAGGAGCAATACAAGAACAACCACCTACAGCAAAACCCTACAGACAGCAAAAACACTTATAAGAGCTATAAACAAAGAGACTTTGTTGAACAGATTAGCCATGGGAGACACTGGAAGAGAGGTTTATAGACACATGGCTAACAAGAAGGGACCAGGCCACCATCTTCATACTTAGAACGCAACATACTCCACTCAATGGACATCTAAACAGAATACAGCCACAACACTCCCCAGAGTGCCAGCTATGTAACTACCCCTACGAAACTGTTGAACACCATCTCTTTGAGTGCCCAAAACTCAGCGAGACTAGAAGAATGCTACTCCCTCCGAGACCAGACAAGTGGAACACCTTGTACGGAGGAAAAGAACAGCTTGTGAAAACGCACATTTCACTACATGGCATTGGGCCATAATGCGAAAGCTCATGCGCCGCTGGATCGATAACAACAACAACAACCCTTTCACCAGCACGATTTTCTTTGAACTTCCTCTTTTCTCCTGAAAATCGCCTTATTTCACTTTGGTCACGTTAACACGTACAGGACTGAACTGCCAACACAGTTTCATCTAAAATCCTAGGGGACTAAAGTGCCCACTCAGTTTTCTCTAAAACCCTCAAGTTACGACCCGTGGCCTTCCCCTGGATTAGTTATTATCCTGTCCCACGTGTCTCGTCAGTCTACTGGCAAGACATCGTCCTGGCTAATTAAAAACGATAACGTAGATGAAAATAGCAAAGGAGACAGGTAAAAGATCACAGAACGAGCCAAATAAAGCAAACAAAAAACTGTCCACAACTCTAATCAGGTACCTCCAGATGGTGACACCTCCATGTAGCAACTGTGCAAATATTGGCTATCTTCTGAATAACGGTCCCAAATTATCCAGACCAAAAATATACCCTAACAGGGCCTCAGTCACATGTAAATTGCGGACTTCCGGGGACTTAAATTGCGCACTTTCGGCGACGACCGCCACCGCCGAGAGTATCTCCCACCAATCTTGTTTAGCCCCACTCCACGACACGCGTAGCAGTGTGGAGATACTTTGGCGGTGGCAGAAGTCTGCAATTTACATGGAAACTACCAGAATTGCAAACACTGATGACACAACTCAGCCTTCCGCTACCCCGGCAGAGCTGCTGTTCTACAAGTTTCTTACTTGGAGAACCACTCAAGATATGCAATGAATTCCAGAGAAATTTGACTAAAAGGCTCAACAAAATGGGAGAGAGGAAAACGTGCACAAAACAACACAACGTAACGAACGTTTCGGCCGGGCAGCCTTTTTCAAACACAAGTGAAAGACACAAACGAGGAATTGCAGATATGCAACTAAAGTTGAATGCATTCGATGACAAAAACCCTGAACAAAATGATTTATATCAATTGGGATGAATTCAACAGGGGTGAATAAATAAAAATAAAGTAAATGTCAGGGAACCACTAGTATTATCATCATCATCAGTTTCCAGTTCTTCCGCTAAGCGGCGTGGAGTGGAACATTTTGCTGTCCATTGCTTGATTTGCAGCAATGGCTATTCTCATTCCGTGTAGATGTAGATGCTCTTTAATGTCAACAGTCCATGTTCTCCTAGGGCGGCCTCTTGATTTCACTTGCGATCTTTTCACATGTAACGCCTGCATTGGTAGTATACTGCATTCTTACTAAATGACCAAACTATGTAAGCTTCTGTTTCTCAGTAAATTTGCTGCACGGTGTTGTTCCTATAGTCTGTCTGATAATATCATTTCTAACTTTGTCTCGGGTGGTAAATTGGTGGCTTTTCTCAGTCATCTCATTTCACAGGAGTTAATTTAACGTAGGTTAGCCTTTGATAATTTCGAAGTCTGGCACTGGAAGCACAGTATTGGTATAAAAAATGCTGTTTATAATCTGTTTCTTGGCGCCCATACACGTTTGGATGTCTTAATAACGGTGTGACTTGGTATGTATGTGCACTGGCTCGTTGAAATTTTGTTTCTATTTCCTGATCTTTTACCCCATCCTCTGAAAATATACTTCTTAGATATTTAAATATAGGATCTTAAACTTGCTTCAGACAAGTACTATTCAACCCGATATGTAGCAGACTAGGAATTCTGCCGAGCTGTATTTCTTCAGTTTTAGTAGTATTTATTTTCGTGTTACATCTTCTGCATGTTGAACTTAGCCTGTATGGTATTGCATTCTACTCCCCTTATCATAGAACAGGCACTGATCGTCTGCGAATAGTAGCTCATTTATTGTGCGTGGATCTAATTCTTGCTCTGCAAAGTATAGTTTCCCATTTTCTGTATTTTCTAGGTCAATTGCTATAACAACTTGCGTCTTTTGATATTCTGTCTATGTATACAGTAAATAAGAGAGGGGACAGCACACATCCCTGCCTTATTATAAACATAGACATGCCTTCTTGTGCTCCCACTGCGCTTTTAGAAGTGTGGTACATGGCCACGCGGTTATCTAGCAACCATCCTTGAATCCCATAATTCTCCAGAATAGCCCATATTTTGTTTCTATCTACTCTATCAGTCGGCTCTGTGGCTAAGTCGATGCGAACGCTTCGCTTCGTAATGCCGGGATGCCAGGTTCGATCCCAGTTGCGGGCAATAGTTTCGACAGTGGTATCAAGAAAGCCGACCGTCCAGGTGGCAATGGCAAACTACTGGATGTAAATTGCCTAGAGAAACCACACAACAGCCAGGGGTTCTGCAACGTCCTGTAAAGGATACGCAACTAACTTAACTAACTACTCTATCAAATGCATTTTCTTGATCTACAAACACAATATTCAGCTCATCGTCCTATTCAGTGGTGTTTCTTTTTTCTTTTTCTATCTCGCAAACTAGTCAGTGTAAGAAATGCATTTGTGCTACCGTTTCCTTTCTTGAAACCAAATTTTGACGTCCTTAGGTGCTGTTCCGCTAAAGGTCTAACTCTATGTTCTAATAATTTCGCATACATTTTTCCTATGTGGCTCAAGAATAATATACCGCTGTACGCTTTATGATACCACTAGTATCAACTGTTTATAATAAGACTGCTATATTGGACACATCATGTGACGTAAAGAGCAGAGAATCACCAACCAGGTACTAAAATGGGAAATAAATGGATTGAGGACGCCAAAAAGAAACCCTAAAACGAACGGTGATGAGAGAGGCCAAAAGTTTTGGATTGGATTTCACAAAATGGTTTTGAATTAATTGCGCAGCTCCCTGTGTGGTTTCCGGGGCCCTATTATAGGGAAAACAAGAATAGACCCACTGCCTACCCAAAAGCATGTCGTAAGAGTCGACTTACTGGGAGTTTCCTTTGAAGTCGGAGTACATCTGCCTGAGAGGCAAGGAACCAGCAGTCTGCACACAAATGAGGCAGATTTGTAAAACCTTAGAACACGCAACACTCAGGTTTTGGAACAGGACTGCAGTCCAGAAGTGGATAAACAACCAGAACTTTCTGGTGACAGCGAAGAAGAATTATTGCACAGCATAGAACATACATAATAAAGTAATGGATTGCAAGCCCTATGTGACACATAAGGGCACAACAGGATAATAATGATGTATAAATGAAAAGGAAGGAATCAGTTTTGCAGGAGGTTACAGTTCATCTCCCGGGAAAATAGACATACTGTTGCAGCTGTTGAAGCAATAAATTGGATTTAGCCTAGTGTGCTCATTTCCAAAAATACACCATTAATGTTTTCATGTGATTGTTACGTCACCCGGATTCATACGCGTGACCGTTATAAATCATTTTTTTTTTTTTACTTTCTGTTCAACCATACCTAGCATAAAACACAACTTTGTAATTTTGCTAAGACTAAAAAGACAAATGATTCAGCGAATATCTACATATTCTGTATAAATAGGTAATTTAATTTCGTGCATTATATCCTTGCGGAGTGATCTAAATTAGTCAGACTACGCCATCTTTGTTGTTGTCAGCAAGTAGCATTGAAACATACGTTGAGTTTGTGTCTCTTTGTCAGTGAAGTTTGCGAATTGTGTCTCTAGTTCTAACATTTTGCAGTCAAGATGAAGTGGCAGTACAAAGAGGAACACCCCTTTGAGAAGAGACGAGCAGAAGGAGAGAAAATTCGCAAGAAGTATCCAGACAGAGTTCCTGTAAGTGCCTGGTCACCTTTGTTGACTTGATAAAAATAAAATGAAAGATGGTGGAGGGATTTGTTAAGTCATTAAAGATTTTGCGACTTATAGTTTATAGTAATTAAGAAATAATAAAATGTGGTATTAATTATCTGAATAATATTAATAATCTGAATGTCATTCAGTATAAGAATTATGAACCATAACTAAGCAGGAAATTATCTCGTGAAAAAACGGTTATTCGTTAATGGAAGGCTGAAGTTCAGTTTTAGTAAGTCAATCCAAGAAGAAGAAACAAAGTCAAGACTCAATTTTTACTGTTTTTAATTAAAAACGATAACGTAAATGAAAATATATACCATGCAGGTATGCATAGGCTTTCTTGTATCGCTGTCTCGCACGATCACCAGACTCACGGATCAGTTTAATGTTTTTGTCACACTTCCATCCAGGGTTTTATCTCTTTGCTTTCCTCTTGCTGTAAGAGAATAAAGCTTCTTTCCTTCATGATTGCAGAGGTTTCGTGACGACACCACCATTACATACTTAGTTGGTCCTTCCTCTTCTACCTTGGGGTGTAAAGGTTTCGCCAGACTTCTCTATTAGCAGTTTTCCTTTTGGCTTTATTCCGTTTGAGTTTTCTGTCAGACAGATGTTGTCTTCCGAGCGAACTGATGTCTGGTGCTTGGCCTCCCATGGTGGCCGATTCTCTCCCAAAGCTCATTAGCTGGCTATCTCAGCTGTTGCTCTTTAATAAACTGTATGAGCAACCAAGGTGTTTTGAAAGAGGCGAGAGCCCGAAGACAACTTTTCACAGACATCAGAAGGAGACAGTCATCATATTTTGGCCAATATGAGAAGAGGGAAAATAGAACATGTTGTGACCACTGGAAAGATCTGTGGAGGGAGGGATAGAGGAAGACAACGAGAGAAGATGCTTGACAGTCTTGTTGCATGGCATGGAGGTGTGCCGGCACATGAACTGATACATGCTGCAGTAGATCGCAGATTATGGAGAGGCATGATTGCCCACGCCAGTCGGCAAGGCATATGATGATGACTAGTTTTGGTCCTAATCTTTTACTGATTTCTTCATCTTCAATTTTATCTCTTCCTGTTACTCTGGTGTAATGATTTTTGCACCCACTAGTTTTAGTAAGGGTCCACATTTGACACTGGTTGCATAAAGTTGGCGAAAAGATAGAAAAATACATGTCAAAAGTGGTGTAACCCAGTACCTGATATTCATTGATACATGTGTTTTGACCTCTCTACCCATTCTTCCTTCAGGTGAAAATTAACCCCAGATATTTAAATTGACTTTTTTATCTCTTTGTCAATTGCTTTTATTTATAAGAATTAGCATAAAACAGCCTTAAAAGTCTATGGTTAAGCTCCAGTAAAAATTAGGATTTTGAGAGCATGCATCTTCCCTGTGGCTACATACGGATGTGAGTCGTAGACTATCTCTCAGTCCTTAAGAAAGAGAATAGGGGCTTTTGAGCTGAAATGCTATAGGAAGATTATCAGAATATCCTGGACAAAGAAGATGAGAAATATTGACATCTTAAAAGATCTGAACATCAAGGAATATTGGCTAATAAACAGCATTTTTTTTTTTTTTCGAAAGCTGAAGTATTTTGGTCATATCAAGCGCCACGACGGATTGGAACAAATTATAGCAGAAGGCATGGTACCAGGAAGGAGGGGCAGGGGTCGACCGACACGAAGATGGGCACAGGATATAAGTGACTCCTTGAGTGTGAAAGTGCATGAGGCGGGAGAACTGGGGAGAGACCGAGTTTCTTTCAGGCAGACTGTGATGAGAGCGACGTTTTGCAAAGGACCTGCTACATGATGATGATCATAAATAATTAGAAATTTTTAACTATGGTTAATTGTAGTTCTGTTTAAAATAGCTTTTTTCTTTCTTTTTTTTAAAATTGCTTCCAGGTGATTGTTGAGAAGGCACCCAAAGCCAGGGTTGGCGAACTAGACAAGAAAAAATACCTGGTGCCATCTGACTTGACCGTTGGCCAGTTCTACTTTCTTATTCGCAAGCGCATCCATCTGCGACCTGAGGATGCCCTGTTCTTCTTTGTAAATAACACTATTCCACCCACGAGTGCAACCATGGGAGCTCTGTACCAGGTATTTATTTTTTCATGTGTCTTGTTTTCTTCTTTGCTTTCACCGGCTGCATACTCCAGCGAAGTATTCTAGTTTTTCATCCATTCTGGACTTAAGTCTTGTTCCAGAGCTTGAGTTTTGCATGCACATCTGTTTTGCAGATCTGGTGTATTTGTTATCAGACTATTGGTTCCTTACTTGTCAGGCAGATGCACTTAGACTTTAAAGGAAACCCTACTAATTGGTTGACATTTATGACAGGCTTGAGTCAGAAGTAGAGCTAAGCACTTATGGGTTACTACCCCTGTGCCATGATGTTGATCCATCGTCTAAATCTTAACCTAGAAAAGCATAGTAAAAGAAGGCAGCCATTAGCATCACCCATCCAGATTGGTTTATAAAAATGTGGGTCTAGCCAGGGCTTTTTCTGATCGGTGACCAGGTCTCCCATCGGCTCGTCGGTAGATGACTTTGTCGCCAGTTGGACTGTATTTGGGTGTGTCTTCTTTGATCACATCAACACTACAGGAGTCCTTTTCAGGGCTTTTAGTGACGCAATGCTCATTCATTTTATGTAGCTCCCCGTGTGGGTTCCGGGGCCCTGTTATAGGGAAAACAAGAATAGACCCACTGCCTACCCAAAAGCATGTTGTATAAGTCGACTAATTGGGAGCTTCCTTCAGAGTCGGAGTGCATCTGCCTGAGAGGCAAGGAACCAGCAGTCTGCATACAAATGAGTCAGATCTGTAAAACTGAAGCACACGCAACACTCAGGTTCTGGAACAGGACTGCAGTCCAGAAGTGGACAACCAGAATTTTCTGCCACTGTGCACAGCAGGTGAACGCGAAGAAGAAGATTTTATGAAGCGTACATTAGCTATTTACACTTAAAAACTAAAGCTTCTGGTGATGGTAGTTGAACGTGCTAGTTGAACGTGACAACTTTTCATTTTTTTCTCCCCTCAAAAACTGATGAGAGCTTTTTCCTCCCTCAGGGGTGCCGATATTTACCACCAAGTGTTTATTACTGTGACGCTGGTTGGAAAAATTACTAAATTATGGGGGCGTCGGTAAGGCATACAGCCAAAAGAAACAAAAACAGCCTGAGTCTAACACTATGTACCCGATGAGACTGGCATGTAAATGACCCTTTATTTTGCTGAGCCCAAATTGCCTTTTCTTAGCTGACAAGTTTCCATGTCGTTTTATACCATGTTTGTTTTTTCTTGTTGATTTGAGGTGCCAGTTCTTACATTTATATGTTTATTTATTGTCAGGAACATCACGAAGAAGACTTCTTCTTGTACATCGCATACAGTGACGAGAGCGTGTATGGGGCTTAAAACTGCACGCACATTGTACAGCCAAGCAAAGGAAGTGTAGTATACACACATGCTTATGTGAATTATATTGATCGTTGTTTTATTTTCTTCCCTGCCTGCCGTTGTCTAATGTAGTTCAGTCTATTTTTCCTTTTTCTCAATGTGATACTCATGTGTATTATAAATCAGATGTAATGGTTGTAAACATTTTAGCTCAGTTGTGAAGTGTGCATATAGAGATTTAAACTGCGAAAACCTCCGTGCAACAATGCTGAGATGCTGCTTATGATGGATGGTTCAGCATCAGCACTTGACAAACTGAAAATGTAAATTCAGTGTATAATTGATCTTTGTACCTGGCTATAGCTGTGTATGGCACATGCTTGTCCTCATGATGAACCTTTTGAACTTTACATTTTGTCACCTATTATTCTAGAGGTTTACATTACATAGAACCTGATGTTATCATTGAACTATTTTAATTGCAGCAAATGCATTATGAGCTGGCCCTCTTCCATTTGAGTCCCAACAGTTTTGGCCACATTCTAAAGAAATCTGGCTTTCGCATTAGCGAAAATATTCCTTTCAACATTGTTTGCAGTGACCTCTTGTTTGGCATTTGGGCATATGCTTTAGAATGACATGGAACCGGAAGAGTTAAGCGACAGCTGAATTAGTGCAAAGATGGAGCTTGGATTCGAATTGGGGCTTTTTGTTTGGTTGGTGATATGGTAGGTACTAAGGTCACATCAGGCAACATATTTTCTAATGAAAGTCATCACGAGGGGCAGCATTGGTAGGTGTCGAAGATAAACGTGGACAGACGAGATCAAAGCATTGTCAGGCTGTAGCCTAGAGGAATGTACTGTGCAGGCTTAGATAGTTACTGCTGCAGAACCACTACCACCTTCATTGGGAAACTGCACTGGGGGATCATAGGGGTTGTACTGCTTGATTCTGGTGATGGTAGAAAAGGCAGATTGTTTTGTTAAATGATTCTTAAACCAATGGGTAAATCCAATAGAGGATCCTGTTATAAAAGATCTCTTTAAGGGTAACAGATAATTTATTCTGATTAAAAGATAGAAGACAAATTCTGTGTACTTCCAGACACACAACACCACATAAAGTGAAAATATCCTGATCATGAGTTTTAAGGACACCTTCAGTAAGCCGGCAGCCATTTTTTGTATCTCAGTAGATTTTGCAGATAAGCACAAATGCTTTAAGTGCACTCACAAGTTGTTTATGGTGATGTCAATCCTGGCCAGGTTTTTGATTTTCATAAATTCTAAATTTTAACCGAGCACATCTTTTCTAAATATGGGGAGTGTGCTTCTGATGATAGAAAACATGACACTTGAGTGTTTTACTTTCCTTGCTCACTTTAATTTGTTAACAGGAACCAAAAGTCTGTCTGTATGGAATAATACATCTTGTGATAGCCTAGACTTCACATATTATAGGAAATCTGGTCTATGTCGACAGCAGAAATTGTAATTACACTAGACCTTGATAAAACTTAAGTGTCGATAGGAAAAATGCTTCATATTTTAAATGTATCCTACATGCTGTATCTGTAGAGCGAGACTCATTTCCAGTGACAGTAAGTATAAAGCTCATATATGTATGTCTGTGTGTGTTTATATATGGTTCAGTGCTTCTGTAGTTAGAACCATATATAGATTAGTTGCACGCATGGACATAGCAATGAGTTTAGTCACTGGATTTGTGTACAGTAGCAATATAATACGGCCTCTCTTGATACAGTAAAGACATGAAATATTATTCTCATTCAGATGGTGAAAACCATGTCATTACAAATATTGGCTATTGTGCTTAAATAGGGTAGATGTCCCGTTAAACATAAATGGAAGTTGCAGAACTATCATCATTACTGTAAGCGAGACACATGGGTCACGGTCAGTCCAAATCAACCTCATATGAATAAACTTGAAATATGTATAAATAAACTGTTCAAACTCAATGATATACCAAAAGCATTTGAGGTATTCAAGATCTGCTTTTGATTACAGGTTTTTTCTGCGGATACATCTTGCACCCTAACCCATAGTCATTTTGTAATGAGACATTTATTTGTGTTTTTGTTGTTTTAACATTATTTCTGGGTTACCAAACAGTGATGGGCAATAAAAAAAAAATTGGTGCACGCAACACCTTTGTCTTCTGTATTTTTTTTTTTTTGTCAACAAATATTTATTTCGGCTGTTTTTGTAACAGTTTTCTTTTGGGGGAGTATCCCTTATACCCTGAGTATAGAATGCACGAGCTTTTGTTTTTATAAATAATTGCACACATTTTCACATTACAGGAAGGGGTAGGTAAAATAATAGATGTCCATGGATTTCATCAGGCAGAATTTCATTCTCGGTGTTTTCTTTCCAAGGGGTACCTCACAGCTGATTATACATTTCTCTCTATTCTTTTGAGGGGAGTGTCTCAGCGGATTACACATTTCTCTGTTCTTTCAAGGAATGTACCTCAGAGCAAACTATACATTTCTCTCAGTTCTTTCAAGGAATGTGCCTCAGAGCTAACTATACATTTCTCTGTTCTTTCAAGGAATGTGCCTCAGAGCTAACTTTACATTTCTCTCAGTTCTTTCAAGGAATGTGCCTCAGAGCTATTTAATACATTTCTCTCAGTTCTTTCAAGGAATGTACCTCAGAGCTAACTATACATTTCTCTGTTCTTTCAAGGAATGTGCCTCAGAGCTAATTATACATTTCTCTCAGTTCTTTCAAGGAATGTGCCTCAGAGCTAACTCTACATTTCTCTCAGTTCTTTGAAGGGAAGTGCCTCACAGCTAATTAATATTTCTGTCTGTTCTTTCAAGGGAAGTGCCTCAGGGCTAATTAATATTTCTGTCTGTTCTTTCAAGGGAAGTGCCTCACAGCTAATTAATATTTCTCTCTGTTCTTTCAAGGGAAGTGCCTCAGGGCTAATTAATATTTCTGTCTGTTCTTTCAAGGGAAGTGCCTCACAGCTAATTAATATTTCTCTCTGTTCTTTCAAGGGAAGTGCCTCAGGGCTAATTATACATTTCTCTATCTTCTTTCGAGGGGAGTGCCTCACCCCTGATTATACATTTCTCTGTTCTTTCGAGGGGAGTGCCTCACAGCTAATTGCCTGCAAAAAGTATAAAGATCTGCCTAATACAGAGTCCTCTTTCAGGCTCATGAATTTTGACACCATAGTTTTGCAGCCATAAGAGCAGTGGATATCCATATTTGAGAATAACACTTGAAATTTTGTTCAGTTTCCTAACAAATTCAAAAGTTAGGATACATTTCTGGGTTAGTTTTTCAATCAGAGGCCTAGGTTCTCATAGAGTGCTGAACTAAATTTCAGAGAAAAAAATGGCAGAAAATTGTACCTTTAGTCCTATTAACACAAAATATTAACTTTGTAGTTATATACAATTATACAGACTGTAGCTGCAATGATTTCAATGCAGCTTGGCCATAGTATGAGTATGGTACTGTCTGATTCTTTTGAATGTGGATGACCATCAGTCTCCCACATCCTTCAAATGAAATGGGTCCGCTTGGATTTACCTCATCAGAACGAACAGCTGACCGCTTAGCTGCCGCTGGCGTACATTTACTGTCCGATTAACTTCCCGAAAACTTTTCAATTTTTCATTATTAGAAAACATCTGACTGAAGAATTTCAGTGCTTCAGCCGCAGAAAGGTGCATTTTTCAGCTTGTGTTCAGAATATCAGTAACCATAGCCACTTGACCATGAAACCAGAAAAATGCTGTCTGAAAATCACGCTAGTAGTGAATCAGATCAATTTGCACCCACATGTGTGCAAAGACATTTGTTGTCAAAGAAAAACCTTAGAGTAACTTTCCCTGAATGCTTTAATGGTAGTTTCGAACATTAGAAACGAATACGGAGCCGTGCACGGGACACACGATCGAAGCAGAGGGTGTTGTTTGGGCAAAGTGGAACTCCTCAGTCAACACACAGCGTTACTCAGGCCTCAAAGAGTTGAAAGGACTTGCTAACTCATATAATGGCATTGGACTGCCAAGAGCAGATAACTAAGAAATGCTGAGATCAACAAATTCTCCCAGTCTGAACAAAACACTTGTTTAACACAAAATATACTCTACAATTCAAACACAGAATATCATACACTTTATAGGTAAAACACAAAATATCATATACTTCACCAGTAAAATATGTATCATACACTTTACAAGTGAAACACAAAATATACAATTAGAATACATATCATATACTTGTCAAGAATTTCAGCTGTTGAGCTTGTGCTGCTTCAACATACCTTTCAACACTTCCGGGGATTATTTGCTGCTTCCTCAACATACCTTTCCACAGTTCTGGGGATTATTTGCTATTTCCTCAACATACCTTTCCACAGTTCCAGGGATTATTTGCTGCTTCCTTTTCTTGTAATTTTTGCAAACATGCACAAGGTTCTTTTTTCCCCTGGTGTTATGCAACGGTGTGCAGTACCAAAAAAACCTTTTAGACGCTGGTGAGACCTTTTTTTCTAGGAAAAGTCCTGTATATACATGTCTGTTATGTTTTCTTTGACAATCTCACCCCCCCCCCCCCCCCCCCAATGTTTTTTTGTGCTCACCTTGTAAGCAGCTGTGGTATAGCGGCTAGACACTCACCCAGCGGGTCATGAGTTCAAATCCAGACAGTGCTGAACTTTCTTCAAAAATGAACTTGTCTCCCAGGTCAGCCCAGCCTTAAATGGGTACCAGGTAAAAAGTCCTGGGAAGTAAAGACAGCATGATGCTGGTCACCTACTGAGTGCCCAATACGCTTGAAGGCATGGAAAATAGTCCTTGCAGTGCTTTTCTTGCCTACATTGGCCATAGCAGTTAGTGTACTTGCTAACAGTGGTTCAGTGTCAATCTGATTTTTTTTTTTAAACAAACTTTTTACCAATATAGCTGTGGGAGCTCAAGTGCACAGTGCCGACATGAGAACTCACCGGGGACACAAGAGATGGTTCTT